CACCTGAGTGGAATACATGTCTGCACCCACACCTTGAAGAACAACAGTTATAGTACAGGTAGGTAACCATCTTTATCTGATGAAGGGAGCCCTCCCTGGACTCTATGCTAGAGGTTCTCATTGTCTAACCTAGTTCTCAGATTTACTGTACACTGAGTGATGGTTTTCACCATGTGTTTCTTGAGACGATCAGACCTTGTAAAAATGGCTAATTGTCATTACTTTGGAAGGCAATTTGGGATAAGGCATGAAGCAGAAATTCCCAGCACTCTCCAAAATGTGAAGGGGCTCCACACACTCTCACACTGTATATGAAGGGAATGAATTCTCTGTGGTTTGAGCATTGGCCTGCTAAACCCAGGGTTGTGAGTTCAATCCCTGAGGGGGACACTTAGGAATCTGGGGCAAAATGAGTACTTGGTCCTGCTAGTGAAGGCAGGGGGCTGGACTCGATGACCTTTCGGGGTCCCTTCCAGTTCTATGAGATAGGTATATCTCCATAATTCTGAAGTAAATGCTGGTTTGTATGTGTTACTATTTCTGATCATTACTATGGCAACCCCAGCATCGTGTGATATACATCCTCTGTCAGAGTAAAGCTGCTTTCAAGTATATGGCTGAAGAAGCACTCCAATGTTGCACATGCACACTCAGGTTCACTCGTGCACACTCAGGTTTACTCATTCACACAGGCACACTCGCTCTGGCTCACACACACTCTGTAGAACAAATGGTCATTTAATTGCAAAAGAAGTGACGTTACTGCAGGGGTAAATTTGTGTCAATTCTCTCTTTAGCTTCCTTTTTTCTGCCTTTCCAGTAGTTTGACTTCACCAGGGCTTGGAGCAGGTGCTGGCCTTTCTGCATGGATCCAGCTCCAAGATCTGGCTAGCTAAACAAACAATAAGGAAAAATTCACTTGAAACTTCAATTTCACTTCCACTTGAGACAAATCCGCACATGCAGCCTGCGAGATTGCATCCCTCTGCTTGCAGCCTAGCCACAAGTGTTAGCTGTAAATATATGGGGGATTCAGAGGTGCTTTCCAATGCCTACTGATGTGCACTTATCCAGAGCTGACTCACACAAGGGCTCTGTCACAAGCTTCAAAATCTGGCATAGAAAAATATGTGGGAAAGCAATCACATGACTATTTAACCCCATTTACTGTGGGGCCTCCAGAGTTAATTTGTGGAAGCGAAAAAGATAGAAAACTGGTGCAACATACGCTTTCAGAAGTGTGGTGGAGAATGTTGTTTGGCTGGCAGGAAAGGCTCATGCAGTGGAGCAATTTGCAGAGTTCCCCTCAGAGTTATAAATCATCTTCACAATATTACAGTCCCTTTTTTCTATGAAAATTTGCCCCATTTTCTTATTTACTTCTTTCCTTTGAGGGACTGTTCATCTGACCAAGTCCATAAATCCTTAATGCCAACAAATTGCATACTATCTGTTTTCCTTTCCCCCCCTTCACTCTATTTAAATTTTAATAGTTATAGCAAAAAAAAGGAATAAAGCATAAATAGAATGTCTGGAGTTGTTTTCCCCAGCACTGACCCTCCATTAGCCAGCAAATCGGAAATGCTCTTTGCATCAATTTTCAGAAGGCTAGCAATACCAGCAAGTATTATTCAATAGCATCACATCAACACAAGTTGAATCAAAAGATTTTTTTCAACCACATGATTCCGTAAAAAAAAAGGATGTAGAAAAAAAAATTGTCATTTAAAGATGAAAATCCTCATAAAGTATTCTCCATATATTCTGATACTTAAGGCACAATATTTTTGTTGTTGGTGTTGAGCTTTATCCATAACATGTTAGCTCTTTATGGCTGGTTGTGTATGTCTCTCAATTCTTGTTTTGTTATTGGACTAGTGATATTAGAGCAGGTTGATTGCCTGGACTCTGTGGGATTTCCTTGCCATTTCTAGCCATGACTGCACTGGGAAAGAATTGCTGCATTAACACTCAGGGTATAATTGCATTTTGTCTGCTGTTCTTCTCACTGTTATATTTTACAACAGAAAGGACCCCTCAGGACCCATGATTCCCTCCTGCTCCACTTAATACTAGCATGCTCCCAAATCATTAAAGGAAAGGAAAGCTGTGATTTTATTTATTTATTATTTTATTTATTTAAGCTCTAAACTAGAAACCTTGCATCCTGTCAACATGAACAAAAGCCACACCTGCACCCTCTCCTTCTGGGGTACCATTTGATTGGAACTGAGGCATGCAAGCCGCTTCCTGTGGGAGAGAAGTATCTAACCTCTCCATCCAGTGTTTGTTCATTTCTTGGACAATTAGTCTTCTCTTTAGTACTACATGCATTCCTGAAGTGCCACCACTGCGGAAGCTGCATACTTATTCATAAACCTCAGTGGCCCAGACTAGGCTCCAGCAGAGGTCCTGTGGAAAAAAAAATCATGTGATCATATAATCATAGATTGCATTGTGATGCATATGCACACGGGGGCCAAATTAAAGTTCCATGGACAGCCTAAATGCTGGCATTTCCTAGCTTCTGAGTACATGGCTTTGCAGCTTTAATATAACATTTTAATGTAGATTTGTGTGTGTCATTTTGTATAGAGCAAACACTGCCTTGTATGTAGGATAACAGGCCTCAGTAAAAATCTACCTAACATAAAAAACACAATACGCACACTAGCTGCCTTGCAAACTGGACTGAAGTGCACCATCATCGCTAGCTTCCTGCCAAGAGAGAATTCAGTCCCAGCTCCTGGATGAATGCCTTCTATGAAGAGCCCCACGCTGCAAGGATAGTGATCTTTGCATTTGAAAAGTAGGGTGCCTGGGTCAAAGAAACAGAGACCCATTGACTTGTTACCCATTTAAACACAGCCCCCATGGGTTTTGCTGTGGTCTCTGCATTTTGCCTCCCTCTTTGTACCTTCCCCTGCCTCCTGATATTTTAAACAGTCCCTGTGGCTTTGCTGTGGCACATTCCAAGCTAAACTGCAGGCAAAGCAGGCTTCAGGTAGCACTAGACTTGGGAAGTAATTAGACACTCAGGGCCAGATTTTCAAAGGTATTTAGGTGCCTACAAATGCAGATTGGAACTTGGTGTGATTTTCAAACATGTCTGGTGGACATTTCTATTGAAATCCGTGGAGTTACATGCCCAACCTCCATAGGCATTTCTGACAGTCCCAGCAGGTGCCTATCTTTGGGTGCCTAAATACTTTTGAATATCTGGTTCTCACTCAGCAAGATGCAAATCCAGAAAGCTACTCTGAAGTCTGTGGAGCTACCCTAGGTACCACCAGAACAGAATATGGCTCCTATTTTCTGATACTAGCAAGATAACTGGTTCAGGGACTGGTTTCTGGGCATAGCAAATGTGTATTCTAACTGAGTTAATCGGCAAGGTTGGAGGGAGCCTTGCTTCTGTGTCCCCTTTCACTCTCTGGAATCAGCTATATATAGACTGTGGTCTACATTAGGGGTGAACCTTTGCCAATAGGTACCTTGTACATCAATGCGAAATAACTGCAGTATCTCAGATGCCCTGGGTAAATGCTGACTTTTAATGGCAACTATTGTACAATATCAGTAGAGAATTCTGTACTTACACACAGGACCTTTGTCCCTAAATGCAAAGTCATGACATGGCAAGCTGGAAAGGGCACAATCACTGGCTCAGCTCAGCACACTGCACAGCCCTGTTTCCATATATAACCTAGCACACTCTGCCTTCTCTTCAATGTGCCACCTGCAGCCTGTGGATAATGTAGCCAGTCCTTCCTGCCTCATGTCAGGTTCTGTCCCTCAGTGCTAGGTCATCCCTGAACCAGATTCCTGGACAAAAGTACTAACTGTGATCCCGGTTGTTATCATACTGTCTCAGGCTTCCCTCCTTTCCTGTGGAACAAACAAACAAACCAACACTGCTGTTCACCTTCTCCTCTGCTCCTGGCCACAACCTCTCCATCAGTGTCTCACAAGAGGGACCAGAAATGGAGGCTGGAGCAGCAGTGGTCACATCCTCCCAAAGCATCTTTACTTCTTATCCCCATTAACTTCTGTGTAAGATTTCCTCTCTTTTTGGTTTCTGTGTTCTAGGTGGTGGTGATCATCTTGATGGATTGTCAGTTTCTATGGCACCTGAGTTTGTATCCACCTTATGTGCCCCTCAACTAAAGGGTCTAGGTCAGTCCCAGGCCTCCAGAATTTATCCAGGCATATTCCAGTATTTGTCATCCTCAACTAATAAATAACTGGGGAAAGGCGAGTCATGCTGCCAGATCATTTTTACCCACAATCTCCAGGTGTCTGTGCCCTGCCTCCTCCTGATTCTCTCAGGAGAAAGGCCCATTTCCTGTCACATCAGTAGAATGGTCAGCTGTGTGGGACACTAGGCTGGGGAAACACTAGAGGGTTTCCACCAAAGTCCCACCTCTGTGTAACCCTGAACGAGTGTGTGTGTGTGTTAATTTACTGATGGGCGCTAGAAGCCCATTCTCATTAGAAGCCCCGTTGTATGAATAAACAAAGCTTTGGAGGTTGTGATGCTGAAAAGGCCTTTGTAAAACAGCCTGTTAAACTTGGTTTCCTGGGAACGGACATCTATTGATACTGAGCGTGAATTATTTTACTAAAAATTATCAAACAGTTTCACTGCAGCTGTCTAAGGAAACTTTCCCTTTTCTGGGAAATAATGCGGCTTCGACAGCCATACATTAATGTAACAAACAGAAGACTACCGTGACTAAGAAAACAAACAGTCTGAGAGCTGTTTCTCCAATCACTAGTTCTTTGTCTTGATTATTTTTAATTTTAGAATGTGTAAAATCTCAGACCTTAAGCCCACTGTATTTCCGTGGATATGAATTACATTCTCTATTAGGAAAGGTACTGACTTCTGGAGCGTGAGGGGACTCCTTGACCTCATCTTGATGCTATATTTGATGTATGCTCACTCCAGATGTAAATGCCAGCAGTTGACAAAGTATTGTCCCATTTCTCTATACTAGAACATCCATCTGGTGGCCAAGTGGCTGAGTTCTCTGGAGAAAAAACTTGAGCAGCACAGTGAAGGCAGCCACCAGGAGTTCCGCATCTTCATTAGTGCAGAGCCTGCTCCTTCACCTGACGGCCACATCATCCCCCAGGGCATCCTGGAGAACTCCATCAAAATCACCAACGAACCTCCAACTGGGATGCATGCCAACCTGCACAAGGCTCTGGATAACTTCAACCAGGTATGGTGACACTTCATAGGAATCACTGGCTTCCTTCATGATGTAGCTACAGTAACCAAACAGATTGCCAGATTAGTTAAGAACTGGTGTATCCAGATGCACAGCACAATGTATGTGGCATATCTGCTACCTTCTGCTCCTAGGTGGCCACTGCATAACCTTGTAGAATGTTTGCTTACAATCTGTTTAGGCAGCATTGAGTGGGCAAAAGGGGCGGGGGAGTGGCACTCTATGTCCAAAGTAGCATTACCTGTTTCCAAGTCACTGACAGTTCAGAAACAAGTGATCTGGGGCACCTGGCATTGGCCACTGTCAGAAGACAGGATACTGGGCTAGATGGACCTTTGGTCTGACCCAGTATTGCCATTCTTATGTTATTATCTAGAATGCTTATGGATCACTGTCTTAACAGATAAAGCACAAGGTGGGGGTACTAGATGGTGTCTTCTAGAGGTGACCAGCTCCTTACAGAACTATGTATAAATGTGTAGAGAAAAAGCTGTGTGATCATGGGGACTTCAGTCTGAGTGACACACGCTGGAGGTCTCATGCTGCCAGTACTAAAATCTCCTTGGGATTTCAAAAAATTTTAGATGATAATTTCCTAATTCAAAAAGGGTTGCATCAAACTCGAGAGAATTATGTATAGACCTAATGTTGATAGAGAAAGAGAAATTGATCAGAGAACTAACATTCTGCTAACTTAGGTAAAAGTGATCATGACTTGATCCCATTTATTAAATGCCAACAGAATAAAATCCAGATCAGTAATATATACTTGGTGCTTTAAAAGGGCCAATTTCAAAAAGCTAAAAAGAATTATGAGACAGATCAGTTGAGGGAGAATTAAAACAAACAAACAAAAAATCACCAAACCCAATGATAATTGAACACTGTTTAAGGACATTTTACTAGATGCCTAAAAAGCCAAAAGTGCTTACCAAGAAAAAGGACATTTGTGAACAGTTCCCACACTGTGGTCTCAGAGATACCAGTTGTCAAGGCTGCTTCCCCACTCTGAACTTTAGGGTACAAATGTGGGGGCCTGCATGAAAACTTCTAAGCTTAACTACCAGCTTAGATCTGGTCCACTGCCACCATTCCCAAGTGGATTCCCTTCCCTGGGAAGCCTTGAGAAACTCTTCACCAATTCCTGGTGAATACAGATCCAACCCCCTTGGATCTAAAAACAAGGAAAAATCAATCAGGTTCTTAAAAAGAAGGCTTTTAATTAAAGAAAAAGGTAAAAATCATCTCTGTAAAATCAGTATGGAAAATAACTTTACAGGGTAATTAAACTTAAAGAGCTCAGAGGACCTCCCTCTAGCCTCAGGTTCAAAGTATAGCAAACAAAGATAAACACTCTAGTAAAAGGTACATTTACAAGTTGAGAAAACAAAGGAAAACTAAGACGCCTTGCCTGGCTATTTACTTACAAGTTTGAAATAGGAGAGACTTGTTCAAAAAGATGTGGAGAACCTGGATTGATGTCTGGTCCCTCTCAGTCCCAAGAGCGAACCACAACCAAAACAAAGAGCACAAACAAAAATCTTCCCCCCACCAAGATTTGAAAGTATCTTGTCCCCTTATTGGTCCTTTGGGTCAGATGCCAGCCAGGTTACCTGAGCTTCTTAACCCTTTACAGGGAAAAGGATTTTGGAGTCTCTGGCCAGGAGGGATTTTATAGTACTGTACACAGGACAGCTGTTACCCTTCCCTTTATAGTTATGACACCAGTATTCCATGTACTTAGAATAAGAGACAAGTGGGGGTCCAAGCTGGGGGTCCATGCTGACTTTTAACGACCACTCTGTGTGCGTGTCTATTGATATAGACTGTGTATGATACTCGTGTAGTAACATACAGATATAAAATGAAGGTCTGCCTGCCAACAACTGCTGCTGTTCTTATGGGGCTGGGATGTTGAAGATGGCTTACTTTGTCCTTGGTTGATAATGGGGCCATGAAGACAGATCTGAAGGTTTCTCTCAGAAGGTCTGACCTCAGTGAGGCCTGCAGCTGAGTTTGTCTGCCTTTTTGGGCCAAGGCACAAAACCCGATACTTTGAATAACAAACAAGAGTATGGCCTGCCCCAGGGCACAAATGCACATGTGCATCTGACTCCAGGTACATAGAGGGGCAAAATATACCAGGTCTTCTTTTCCAGGTCTTTGGGGCTCAGATCAGACCCAGCATCTGCCTTAGTTACTGTTGGAATGCAAAGTATTTCATATGATACAAATACATCATCTGGCTTTTTCCTAAATATGGAACAGAAATATTTATTGAGCACTACTGCCTTTTCTGCATTATTATAGACAATTCTACCATTTCCATCTAGTTACAGATCAATACCATTGTTAGGATTACAACAAGGAGTCTGGTGGCACCTTAAAGACTAACAGATTTATTTGGGCATAAGCTTTCGTG